TAGAAATTTCAACGCATAATTTTCTTGCCCATATAAGCAGTTAATTATTATATTTATATTTATTAATTTATTAAATTTATATATTTATATTTATTAAGCAGTTTTTAATATATTTAGATTCCTTTTTCGTTCCATTGATAAGTAGATATATTTCCTTACAGTGATGATATAGGCTGAAGCAGTATTAAAATACATGCAAATCACAAAGGAAGACATTTAATTTTTTAATGCGTCAGCTTTTTGTTAATCAGTTTTTTTGCATAAGAAACATTTATTTTCTTGTAATACTGTATACACTCAAGATTCCAACTACATAATACACCCTGACAAGAAACAATTTCTAACATTTCCTTGCTAAATATAGTAAGTATATGATGCAGAGACCATCAATGTTTAGTTTACAATTAGCAGATATCAATGTAAGTATTTGTTATTTTGCAATAGGTGTTACAAGTATTGCTCCACTAATTGTCCATATTTCTTCCACTACCACTAAGGTTTGTACTATTTTACTCATTGTTTTACAATAATATCCGAATTTGTAACATAAGTATGTTGACAAAATATAACACATCTATCTGATATTCTAACCCGCACGACGTAAAATTACTCAGTTTTGGTTTTCCTACATCAAATACAGTCTATTAGCAGCGTGACTTTCTAAGAGGCACACGTAATTTTCCTATTTCCAGATTATGTATTTACTTCCGTATTATAAGCTTCCACTATTTCTGTGTGTATGTGTGTGTGTGTGTGTGTGTGTGTGTGTGTGTGTGTGTGCGTGTGTGTGTGAAGATAATATATTTAAGATAGAATGTAGTTTGAAACATGCTAAAAAAAATGAGGGAAGAAAGTAAATAATAAAGTGGCAACGTTGGTAGGGAAATATGCAACAAATCCAAAATTAATATTTAATGATAGTTTTTATTCAGACATTCCTGTTTCAATTGAACTATATATATATATATATATATATATATATATATATATATATATATATATATATATATATATATATATATATATATATATATATATATATATATATATAACAAATCACAGCCCCTGAACCAATTTGGCCTGGGAAATGGCGGTTGTACCCCTTTCGATGCAAATTGTCCTGCTGATTGCGTTACAATGGACGCACGGGGATGTATGAGATGCACGTGCACAGGTAAAATTTAATGGTTTTAAAGTAATATGTAAACACCGTTATTTCATTATGAAAAACTAGACAGCATCTCAGACATCTAATGACATATTTTGTTATCCATTCGAAACATGTTAATAAACGACAGTGATGGCATGCATCTCGTTCAAAACTTGCGATCAGAAAATGGACCTCCGAAACATATGTTGTTGTTGTTTTGGGGTTTAACGCCATTTTTTAGCACATGATAGGCTAAACATGGCCGCCAATATACTGGTGGGAAAAGAACCCATGAAAACCTACGATAAGAACTACCGACCTACGCGAAACTGCTAGCGGTGGCAGTGGTCGGCAACAGGCAACCGCTTTAGACCACTCCGGCACCCGGGGCCCCTTATGCAGATATAAGGGACCGAACATGTAATCTTCAGGAAATGAGAAAAGGGCTGTGTTATTTTAACCAGCTATGATATTGAGACTTGTTTCTATTGGACGACGGTATAACGTGGTTACAGCTATTTAATATTTGTACGCAGCGACATGATCAACCTGAATCGGATGTAAAGCTAAGCGAAACTAAAATGGAATGAAGACCGGTTAGCGTTTTACTTTATTATAGAGTAGCAGTGTAAAATAAAATACACGATAAGTGTCCTTAGATGCAAAGCTAGTTTGTGGGGTTTGGGTGTACCGAGTTAAGAGAGATCAGAGAAGTCTCGTTGTCAAACGTTTTGTTTCACCTCAACAAATAAGCCTTGTATCTAAAAACGTTAACTTTGTATTCGGAAATGGTCATTTAAAGGTAAAATTACTATGTAATACATTCCTCTCACAATTTCTTTAATATTGTTAAAATAACGAAAAGAAAATATATTGCACAAGCTACACGAATCAATATTTGATGTTAACTGCACTAATTACTGACATGTGGCAAATTAATTTCTTCATTTTACGCAAACCATGATCTATGTCTGTACAATGTTATGATGTCAAGCTTTTGTATGTTCATGAATTATTGTCACAAATAGTCGTTGAAATACGATGGAAGTGTTTAAGTCCGAAAACAAAGACTATAAATATTAAATCAATTTGAAAATTGTTAGGCAAAGTTTAGCGCAAAACTGTATATGATCGTTACCATCAAATCAATTAATTATTTACGTACTTTCTAAAAAAAGTCGAGTTCTCTTCTATTGCTGATACCAAGAAAAATTTCCTCCTTTCTTCGATTTTCTGTTTGACTTGATGCATAGACGTGCAAAACGCAGAATGGTTACGTTACCGGACGCTGAAAAGCAATAGCGTATGTATTCGCCTTACAATGTCGGATCAAACTGCAGACTGCATGGATCCATGATCTGCCGGCACATTATGCGATGGATATATACATCTCTTTCTTTCTTTTTTTTCTTTCTTCCTTTCTTATGTGTTTATGTGTGTATGTGTGCGTGTGTGTGTGTGTGCGTTATTTTTCTTACTAAAAGTACCCGTATATTATTTGATCATTGGATTATAACGAGAGAGAGAGAGAGAGAGAGAGAGAGAGAGAGAGAGAGAGAGAGAGAGAGAGAGAGAGAGAGAGAGAGAGAGAGAGTTAATTGTCATTCTCGTAAGATGTTCTGATATTTCACCGTACTGTATATTCCGACTGTTCTATAAGACTGTTATGTCAATCAGTGGTTTCAATTTCATTTGCTTGAAATTGGCAGACACTCAATATCTATCTGTTATGATGGTACGCACTCAACACCTAGAACGTGAAAACCATGCACGTGTAAACCACGCAAGAGTCTCAATGTTATCGTCCATAAACTTCAACACTTAGCACGTGTAAGCCATGTACGAGTCTGTGTTATCGTCCATACGCTTCGTTACTTAGCACGTGTAAGCCATGTAAGAGTCTGTGTTATCGTCCAAAGAATTCAACAATTAGCACGTGTAAGCCATGCAAGAGTCTCGCTATTATTATCCATAGACTTCAACAATTAGCACATGTAAGCCATGTAAGTGTGCTATCGTTCATTCACTTTAACACTTAGCACGTGTAAGCCATGTAAAAGTCTGTGTGTTATTGTCCATAGACTTCAACACTTAGCACGTGCAAGCCATGTAAAGGTCTGTGTTATCGTCCATAGACTTCAACACTTAGCACGTGTAAACCATGAAAAAGTCTGTATTATCGCCCATAGACTTCAACACTTAGCACGTGTAAGCCATGCATGAGTGTGCTATCGTTCATAGACTTTAACACTTAGTACGTGTAAGCCATGTAAAAGTATGTGTTATTCCCCATAGACTTCAACACTTAGCACGGGTAAGTCATACAGGAGTCTTAAGTTATCGTACATAGACTACATTAAATGATGTTTATCAGATAAAGGTAAATCATGTAGTTATTCTCTAGAGAACAATCAATTATGGTAGAATGGAAATATTCAGAACAAATTAACTGGAGAGCAATAAGATGCAACATGTCTGTAATATTATAATAATAATAATAATAATAATAATAATAATAATAATAATAATAATAATAATAATAATAATAATAATAATAATAATAATAATAATAATCATAATCATAACCATCATCATTTGCTGTCTCTTAGGAGGAACAAAAGCAGCTCAGCAGCCAACAGCCGTGCCTCCTACAACCTCAAAGGTTTGTTTGTATATTTGTTATTCCCGTGAGGGTTTTTGTAAGGGTCGATCTTGATTTTAAAAACTTCATCGAGCGAAGCTATATATGATATACACCTTTTCAGCAAGCATACCCTTAGGAGCTTTTAGTAATGCAAATTTCGTACAATGGAGGTGGGGTGGGGGTGGATTGGTACTCATTTAGTGAAGAAATGGCTACATAATATGGCAAAAGTGATGTCTCATTTCTTTCAGTTAATTATTATCCACCTTCTAACAAAAAAAATGAAAAACAAAATTTATAATAAAAATAATTCCATGCCTTTTTGTCCACAGAGTTTTAGACAGTAAACAGGAATATGGAGTCTATATGTAGTGAAAATGAAACACCAATTACATATATGAATAATCCATTTAGTGGCAAGAAGTGGACTGTGAATAAAACTTGAAGAAACTGAACATTAGTCCTTTTTCTGCACATGCTCTTTGAAAATAAAATTGGTTTTAGTCGGTCCTTAAGAACCATGACAGTATTTCTTAAACATTGGTGCAAGGCCCGTATTGGTCATAAGCAGAATTTTAGGATGAAGACGGGAACACAATATTCCATGCCTTTTGGTAATAGTAATTATAATAATATAGACTACATTGTGGTCACAAACATTATGATGTCCTCAAAATCAAGAGTCTGGAATATTCATATTCTATGTTCACATGTCTCTCTGTACATTTAAAGCTATCTATTGTAACACAATTGGTAATTAAGTTAAAATGAATTATTTAATGAATTTTTAGTTTAAATCTCTAACAACTTTATTGATATCCTTATACAGGAATCAATGAAATATGTAAGAAATCTAAGACTTTATATCTAATTGTTTCCATTTATGTGCCTACCTTATTCTAAATCACCCATGACTTTGCAAATGACCACACTTACAACGATAAACTTACAACGATAAACCTAATTGTGATTACGTTTAGGATTTTTAACGTGGCTTTAACAATTTTCAGTCATATCACTATGATGTCTGTAGTGTGACAGTTTAGAGTGATGTCTTGCACTGGGGCATCATTCCGCAGACAGGTAGCATGATGTCCCAGACAGTCACATTATCTTGACACCAGGCCGACCAGTCCTAACACTAACCTCTTAATGCTGAGCGCCAAGCGAGGAAGCAGTTAGTACCATTTTTGTAAGTCTTTGGTATGACTCGACCGGGGATCGAACCCACGACCTCCCGCATGCGAGGCGGATGCTCTAACTACTAGGCAACCGGAGCGATATAAACCTAATTTATCCAGTCTAGTGTTCAAATGTCATACCAATAAACAAGATAAATAAATAGTTATAACAATTACATAAAAATGTCACTAAATCACCACTAATATGTACATAACTAATTGTACATATTAGTGTACACTATTTTCATATATGTAGCCTAATCAACACCCCGTACAATCCAATGTAGAAAAGCACAAGGATATATACATGAATATGTCTTATTCAGCGTCACTATCCATTTACCTATATATTTCGTTTAATCAACACGAACAGTGACAGTCGTGATAGCCACAAGATCTAGACAATCGTGTAAGGTATGCAGCTGGTGATTTATCTTAACTGAGCAGCTTGTAACTGTTAAAATTTGTCTTTCTCTTGTTTCGATTCACGCTCTTGTTTTGCGGGAAATGCCTTCTCACACACATGGGGAAATTCATACAACAACTAGAATAGTTCTTAAACTAGCAATTAAATTGAATATGTATCTATATATGCATACATATCAGGATTCTTTTAAAACAAGTATTTAATGGCAAGTAATTTTTTATTATATTTAGATGGGTATTAAGAACTAAGACTGAGGATACACGATGATATAAACTTTGGCGGTTTAATACTTACAAAGTACATACCATGAAAGATGTGATTAACAAAAGTAAAATATAAACACGTAAATAAGTAATTTTAAATTATTCATATCAACAATGCTTTTCAAGTCTCTTTTGTATTATCTGTACTAATCATAACTGTACTTTCAATATGGAAATCTTGATAGCCATAAGTTACTGGTATGAGAGTAATGTGATTGTCAATTAAAGGAAAGAACTGACTGGAATAAGGTCAATATGGCAGCCATCATTGCATGGCATCGCAATGATTGCCACGTGCCTTAAATGTAAGGCCCAGTGTATATATATATATATAAAAATAACGTTCCTTGCATATTAATTAGTTCTCATGCAACAATAATTACAATGCAATAACTCAATATAACCTTAATGCCTTTACATATTGCATCTAATATACAACATCGTATTGCTTATATTAGCTCAAATAAATACATTCTCCTCAAAACATTTAGATGACAGTCTTTTAAGTTAATAAGATATAACTTTAAACTCAGTACGTACTATATGTGATATTTGACTTACCTCCCCACACACACCCGTTAAACCAATCCGTATTACCAAGAGCCCTTAAAAATTTAATCGGCTCTTGAGTGAAAGGAACAAGAATTTTTACAGAATCAGACTTTAACTGAAAAGAATTGGAGGCACAGGAAGACGCCCATTTTATTTCCTTGTCGTAACCATAAACAAGACATACACAGACATCATTGTGCCTCTGACCCGTCCCGTCATTTCCCGTCACATCACGTCACATCAACGTCATATACGTAGCCAATTTTTTTTTCGTTCAGTAATGTTTGAAAGAAGTAATGAATGGCATAAAATGTGGTATGAGATTTACAGTAGGAACAACCGTTCTAAAGTTTGTATATCGTTAAGTCAGAGTTATGGCCCCTGTTTAAGTTAAATCGTCACCTCTAAATTGCTTCGCATTGGCGGATGAATTCATATGGTATATAAATATTTCAAGCCTCTCACGTCAGTTAGGACGATCACGTGATGAAATTAATTCCACATTAAAGCTATTAAAGTTAGTCAATTTTTTTTCCAAAAATATTGTACCATTCCTCACTAGACCCTTCTTGGTTATAAACTTGATGGCGCGATCACTCGTTTCAAAAATAAATTTCATTTTGGTTTTATTAAAATTAAAATTTTTAGTCATATTGTGAATGTATGCGCTTTGAAGCAATTTTTGTTCAGTTGGTCTTTAATGCATGGAGGTTTTTTTTCTGTCGATTCTACACAAGTCCGCTTGATTGCTTGTGAGGGACTTGATTTAATCACTGTGTCAATTTCGTGCGATGTACATACAAAATGTGCATTGCACTCGCCATGAATCAGCTGCATGCGTGGTTCGGTTCTGTCATTGATTATTTGGAATCACAATGTGGGAAAATATGAATTCTATCATTGAAATTATCAAACAGACGCTATGAAATAACACGTTCATTTCATTTTGAGTGCAAAAGGTGAATGTGGTTGCAGTTGGAAAAGTACTTGAAATTACAGTACAATTTTGGAACCCATAAAATAGGTCTTGAAATTCGGTCTTGCAGAACTAAGAAAGCATGTTTTGAGGAAATTGACACTCATATTATCAACTCAAAAAGACATGTTTGTGTCTTGTCGCTTGCATGCTCTTTGTATGGGCCCAGTTATATACATTATCTGTATGGTTTCTATTGCTTCCCTAAACTAAATCCAAAACATTGTACCAAAAGAGCTAACGTGGAAAATTGCAAAACAATTGCTGTGTGATAGTCCATTTAGCCAGAGGAAATAGGAATTCTTCGTATTGACTAAGGATTATTGACTCTGAGACTCTAACTTTTCTACCTAAACCTTCAGTTGCATTTTTTCTCGAATTTAGCACTTTGAGTTGTAAAATAAATGTACATCTCTGATAGGTACCCGTAACCCCTTGACCTCAGTATTACTTTCTATGCTATTTTGATGTACACCAAAAATCACTGGTCATAGTCTGAACTATTCTATTTGCGAAAAGTTACTACCATTTCTCCTACATAACTGTTTAAATGATCACAATGGTATTTTCAGTACTGTGTCTCTCACGTTTTTGAGGACATTACGAATATCTCGTTCATCAATTTGCATATTTACAACAATTTCATTTATGATTCAGTAAATTCGTTCACATCTTTGATTTTATTATCTTTACTTTCAAAGGACGAAAAGCTGGTAAATCCTATGCTACATAAGCGTACATTGTTCACAATCAAAGTACTTTCTAATACATAATAGTATTCTTAGATACACGTATCGTGCAATATAAATCTGTGCAGTATGGAAAAATAATGCACAATTCTGAAAATGTAACGTTAACATAAACAAAAATGAGCATATGATAACAAGAGATATTCAATAGCAAAATGTTGAAGACCTTTTTGAATCTGGTAAATGTAAGCTGTCCATAATATAAAAATAAAAAACAACTAAAAGTGTATATATGAATTTCAGCCTTTAAGCCAGTTTGGTCTCGGCAACGGTTGTCCACCTTTTGATGCCAACTGTGCCCCTGGGTGTACTACTGTCAACGCTCAAGGATGCATGACGTGCACCTGTGCAGGTAATACCTGGTATAAATTACAACGATCTATTACATGTATATATTTCGTTTAAGCTGCAGGTAGCATTTTCTATAAGTTACAGTGATCTATTGCATATATGTGTTGAAACAGAACTATTGATTATTGAAGCATAAATGACTTGTATATGCACATATGTGTTTGTGTATGTGTGTGTGTGTGTGTGCATGTGTGAGAGAGAGAGAAAGAAAGAGAGAAAGAAAGAGAGAGAGAGAAAGAGGGGTGGGAGTTTCTGTGCACTTGTATTTAAGAGTAGTATTGTTAATTTTTACTTCCAAACATTATTGTTACTCACGAAAATTTCTCACTCGATCTGCACTAAGATCGAATTCGCGAATTTGAAAACTTATACCTTTGAAGGAAAGTAGCCTATATATATATATATATATATATATATATATATATATATATATATATATATATATATATATATATATATATATATATATATATATACACACACATATGTGTGTTGTTGTTGTTGCCGATTTTTCAAAGTCATTGCATTGTCAATGATAGCAGCGTGTACGGTTGTTTGAAACTTCATCACTCTCTCCTACCCCCTTCCGCCCCTTCTCTCTCTCTCTCTCTCTCTCTCTCTCTCTCTCTCTCTCTCTCTCTCTCTCTCTCTCTCTCTCTCTCTCTCTCTCTCTCTCTCTCTCTCTCTCTCTCTACTTGCAAACTTTTATTTAATTTGGTGTGATAGGATTTATTGTCAACAATTTTAAGGATGTTCTTGAAATAATTTCTTAAAAAGATGTATAAAATGTTTATTATTATTATTATTATTATTATCATTATTATTATTATTATTATTATTATTATTATTATTATTATTATTATTATTATTATTATTGTTGTTGTTGTTGTTGTTGTTGTTGTTGTTTTGCAATGCTAGAAATATAGTAATTGTATTGAAGACATATATTGGATCCAGGTCATTATTCACTTTCATATTTTTCATCAACCTACTCATGTATTCATTATTAATATTCATCAATATCAATTCGTACCCTTATCTCAATCCCGACGTTCTTTTACCACTTCCATGGCAGTTCAAATTAAAGCCATTGCTTATAGTTTCCTCTTTCGCCCTTAAATTTTGCTTTCATTGGTTCTGTTCAGACTGCGCCGATAAATATTTGCTGGAAGCAGCGTGTTATGGCCACTCTTACACGAAATACTTTAAAAAGGACTAAACTTTTCAATCAAGGACCGGGCGTAACTGATGAGTAAATATAACGTCACAAAAGCTCGCGTCTTCGAGCCAGTCTAAACTAGACCGATCATGTGAGATTGGACTGTATCATCCTTGCCACTGTTTTTGCTATTTAATCTTTAGATTTTGCTTCTTCCTTTTTCTTTACTTGTTCTTTTAATTATTTTACTGTTTGCTTAATAATTGATACATTGATTGACTTCAGCTACCTCGTCACAATCGGTGTCCACAACGGAAATCCCGCCTACAACGAATCCCACAACGATTAGTGCACCATCAGCTACATGCCCACCTCTCCGGTGTGTGTATCCATGTGATGCCGGTGTAACCATTGGAGCAGACAGATGTCCCATATGCAAATGTCACACCTCTACCTCTGCATCTATCTTAAAATAAACTTTTATTTAAATCCTTTTTTTTCTTTTGAGCTCTCTTCTTTCGTGAATGAAAATAAAAATGACACTAAGTGTCTTTGTATACGAGATTTTGCGTATTCTTTACAAACTATACACCATTTCCTGTCAAACTGCAACTAATCAAA